CATTGTTCCTCTCCATGTTCATTAAATGAACTTTACTGACCAGTGGCAAGGTGACTCTCTGTGCTGCTACAAGCCCCGCCCACCGTCTGAGGCAATTAAAAAGCTCCTGGCTTTGGATTGGCTCAGAGGCTCCTCTGTCAGTTTCAGTGCCAGGTTGAGTGGAACCAAAGGCTGCCCGGACAATATTTTTGCTCTCATACAAGAGCCTTCAGTGAACTGACACTCGTATGTTGGGTTTTATCATTAACAGACGGAGCTCTGGCCCTGCAGCACTGAGGTGAGTGTGTTGGCGTCTGAGTCAACACATGCCTCATGGTAGTTTACTGCACATATTGTGTTGAGCTTTTTTTGTTGTTGTTGTTGTTGTTGTCTGTTTTTCCGAGACTAGTAGGTGCTCTGCATTATCAGGTTATCGCTCAAAAGTCTGTTTGGATTTAGATAATAAAATGGATCTTTGAGTGAATAATGTTTTACCACAAAATGTCAATCAATTGCTCATCATCTCTTTCACTGCTTTCTGGATTCTGTATAAATCAGATGTTGAGATATAAACAAAGTCATTCGGAGTGGATTAATGTGAAATGGCTCACTGTAGAGAAACTTTCTGCCTCAGATTTCTTTACAGTGGTTGTGACAGGAGCCGGGGGTCACAATGTTTATCCAAAATAAGCAGTGAAACTAAAAGTGTCTTCTGACTTTTTATAATGTTGAAGTTGTAAATTCAAAAATACACCTTTTCTTTGGGTACTATTTTATCTTAGAATGCCCTACATGTAGCTGTCTGCCTTTAATGCTTTTTTAAGATAAATTTTAGGCCAAAATGTTATCTCAAAACTAATGTAAAACAATGTCTTAGACAACATTTTCATAATCATTTTGGGTAATACCTTCCAGTGAGGTAACTTTGATAGATATTAAACTCTTCAGATGTCTGGTTCCTATCACCACCATTGTGAACAATTCTAAGTGGAGCATTTCACATCAAAGCTCCCTGAATGACTATGTTTACAACCATTTCAACCATTTAATTATGCAGAAATTTTGGAACAACTAGTGGAATTGCCATTTAAACTGTAGAATCCTGTGTCATACTTAGGGGTGAAAGATTTGGGGAAAATATCTAATTGATATAATTGATTTACATAAAGAAATTAACCAAAAAAGCTCCATGCCTTTTTGTTTGGCCTAGAAGACCAGAACATCCCTTTTTTCAGACTTGAGGCTTTAAACGTTGAATGGAGTGTGCCAGACTTCCAGTTCATAAGCTCTACATTACGTTAAATATCCCCACTTATAACTTAAGACAACTTTGATGTTATTCAGAAAGAATTAAAATTGCCCTCCTTTAATAACTGACTATCACATTGATTTATCAGTCTACTCAGCCTTTAGCAGAGTTCAGTAACACTGAGAATAATAACTGATAATCACATTGATTTATCAGTCTACTCAGGCTTTAGCAGGACACTTGATGTTCGTATAGAAGCCATTTATTGGGTTCCTCTACAGATTTTTATTTATATTCTCCCATTTTAGAAATGTATCACAGACCAAATACAGATAGTTCTGTATTCTAAAAACATATTACAAAGAACTGTATATTATTACAAACCTGCATTTGATAATAAATGTAATTCTATGAAGAGTGTCCAATGGGTTTAATAACAACAACAACAATAGTAATAATAGTAATAGTAATAATAATAATAGTTTATATAATATTAATAGTTTATACACCTACCAGTTGCACTCTCTTTTGTTGATTTTCTATACAATGGCTTTGAAAATTTTCTTCATGTTTGCACCTCTCATTTAGAGAACCATCCACGGAAAGATTCTTTAGGGAACCAAAAGTGGTTCTTCTATAGCATCACTCCAAAGAATCCTATTTGCCAAAAACACATGGCTAAAAGTCCAAAACAGCTGATTATGGCCTAAGTGCTGAAAATGTATTAAGTTTGCAGGGGGAAAAAGCCTTAAAACAGTAATCCTCCACCTGCACTTCCCAAATGTTGGAAAGTACAGAGTATTTTACAATATGAGAGGGATTAGGTTTTATTTGCTTTGAAATATGAAGCATAAAATCAAGTGTGAAGTCTAACAAGTTGGTCTTAAGTGAAATTGCCATCTCTAGCATCCACAAAAAGGGCACTCTGTTAAAGGTTATCGTGCATAAATATCTGATTCCACAGTTACCCACGTTTCTGTAACGACTGTGACATTCGGGATAACCTGTGGGGCTAGATGGGCTTAAGGAGCAAACAGCTGCCTGAGCCTCAGCTCTCAATTAAAACCAACCAAAGGAAGTGCAATTTGATTTTATGACCATCATAAATAAGCATATGGTTTCACGTTATTCTGTTTAGACAAAAGATTTTCAGTTTAGTTACATATGCATGTAATTCTGACTTTTGATTTAAGACCTATTGGTACAGTCGTGTACAAAACACCTCTGGTCAAGCAATTGTTTTGTTGATTTTCTACAGGAAACAAACTCTGTAGGAAGCAAAATGTAACATATTGGTAAAAAATAAAAATAAAATATAAAATGTGCCATAACTTTTGCACAGGCTACATTTTACATTTTTCCCTCTAATATTTTACATTCAGTATATAAACAGTACTTGTGCAGTAAAACGTGGGGAAGTGTGTTCACTGCAGAGGATGTGCTCGTTTTTACTCAGAACAGCAGCGAAGCGTCATTTGACTGCCCAAACTTTTGCATATGACTGTACATTAAAAAAGCATGACAATGGGATCTTATTTTCAAGACACACTGAACATACAAGCAAAAAACAAATTTTGCTGAATTTTTATGGAGGCCTTTCTTGGGCTCCAAAGAATTTGATGGACACATCAAATTTAAGGCTGTACTTCATCAAACTACTTTAAAAAGGAAGATCAGATTGAAAGAGTGTAATTCAACATTAACGCCTCATAAGACAACCATCAGAGGATGTGAGCACTGTAATGATGAGGTGTGCAACTCTACTAATTCAGAGCACTTTTCCAGCTTGAGCAGAAAATTTCCTCCTTCGATGTAATGCTGCATTAAAGGCGGAGGGTTATGACTTTAAGCGAAGTTGTTTTACTACCAAAGCCAGGTGCGTGAAAACTAAAGTCACGCCTCATTTGGGGAGGCAATTGGCTCGAAAGGTGTCCAGAGGCTGTGAGAAGGTTTTAGTCACACGTGGTGGGGTATGAAGTTTAGTTAGAGAGCAAGATTTGGATGAGAAAGGGCCGCACATTCAAGCAAAGGCTGTGAGTGAGGTTAACACGGGCCTGGCAGGGGTGGGTAGGCAAGTATGTGCGTTTGGGGGTGGTGGGGGGTCAGTGACAGGTGTAGTTTCAGTTGGATAAGACTCTCAGTGGGTACAGTGGCACCCTGGCAGACAGGGACCTGCATGAAATTAGGTCAGATGGGGAGAGGAAACCTAAGAGAGATGGCTGAGGCAGAGAGAGGAGCTTTTAATGTTCATTCCAGTGCCATTGCTTGTGTAGAACAATGCTGCCCTAAAAATGCTGATAGCATGGCACTACATATAATGACTACTACTTAACCTCACTATCTGGAAAAGGCTTGTCTTTATTTTTATTGTTTTTATTTTAGGACAATTTGAAAATGCCAGGTGTTCTTTCCATTGTGTGAAATACTTGGAAAGTATAATTTTTGCACTGACTTCTATTAAAAGTTAAGAATTTTTTTCCTTCTGCAAAATTACCATTTTGGAGATACAAAGGTTTGTACTGATGGCAACAATAAAATACATATTTAATACTACATATCGCTGCTGTTGGAAGAAAACCTTGTGTCTACAAAATGACAACTTTACAGGAGAAGGAAAAACTATACTTTACTTTTAATGTAAGTCGATGGAATTTTTTCCAAATAGTTTTGGGCCGTTTCTTTTGGTCTATTCATCATGAAATTTGAACACAACATAAGGGGCAACAGGCATTTTCAAATTATGTCAGAGACTGAAAAATGACAAAAATGGAGATACGAGGTTTTGTTCCGACAGCGGCGATATACTACTACAATGAAAATTTATACAAAAACAGTCTTATGCACAGGTCAAATTACATATTTTGATTTTCCAGGTTAAAAAAAAAGTCCACACATCCTCTACAGGGAACAAACCTCTGCAAACTGCAATGGAAAAGTACTATTTATTTGGGGGGAAGAAAACTAAAATGTAGTATATATATATATATATATATATATATATATATATATATATTAGTGTTAAATTCAACAAGTAGAAAGAAACTGGGCACTACAATTTGCAGAGGTATGTCATATTTAAGTAAGACGTGTAAACTTATTTGCATTCAACAAAACATTTAATTTGACTGGGGGTGCCCAAACTTTTGCATAAGACCGTACATATGATTAATGTGGACAAATTTACAATACAAATGCTTATGCACTACTACATATATGGCTGATACCACGGCATAAAACTACTGAGTTGTGGGCAACTTTATGTACTGGCGAAATAAATTAACAAATATATAAATATTGTTATATGCAATACAATATTGTAATATCTCAAAAATAAATATTTTAACATTTTGAGAAAATAAGTTTCAAAATGATTCAGTTGACAGATTTTGCCCTCTCTTCTTCAAGTGCATTTCAGTGTTAATTAAATAAACTACCAAAAAACAGAGAAATTGTTTTAACATTATACTCAATATTTAATTCTGTATATGCTGTTGCTCTGGTGCACTACTGTATTTAAAACAGGTCAACCTGCAAATCCTACTATGAAATCAGCAGATAAGTAGACAGATAAGCAGATATTTCAGCATAAATGTGCAGAATTAAAAGCATATGAAAATATGGCTTTTAATATCTTAATATTATTGCTATGTGTTTTAAGCTGTACAAATGGTCAGCTAAGCAAAGTGATCTGCTTATGTGTGGTGACTGATGAATCAGTTAACGTTCAGTGATACCATCTGGGTGCTCAGAGAGAGTGACCGCAGCAGCGCTTGACAAAATATGCATTTATTTCATACAAATGAACAGAACAATAATAAGGAAAAAAAAGTGATATCATTGAAGCGCCACGCAGAGCACTGTTACTGAAAATGCATAACAATGTTCTGCACAGTGATTGTGTTTTAGCACAAGTGAAAACGTCTACTGTATCTATAAAATAACTGCACAAATTATAAAACTATCATTACTAACACGCATAATAATAACTAAATCATTCTTTAATATTTCTGACACAAAATGCCTTGCAGCTCTAGAGTTCCATAGCAACAATTAATGAGGAAAAGAACTAGAAGAGAAGAATATGAAGAAAAGTCCATTAACTGTGTGGCATTTCAGGCTGGAGCTGTATTTGCATGTCTGGTTACATAGCGGCTATTCACTTTCCACTATGCACATTTTTACACTATTCTCTAATGTTTCTATATTACATTTTAACTTATATCATGCATGAGGTGTAGCAAACCTACTAGAGGGAGTGCTGATGCGTTTTGATGCTTTTTTTTGTTGAAAGCACATTAAAGTGAGGAGCATTGATTTTGAAGTTGTTATACATTCAGTGGCCAAAGTTCAGTGATACGTTTCAAATCACAGCATCGTAAATAACATATGGACAAACAATTTTACCTCCATTTACATTAAAAAGAGGTACTGGTTACAACATGGCAAAATACAAAATAGTGCACATATTTTTGGCAGCATTTAAAAATTTCAAACCAAATTTTGTTAAACTGACTATGTTAATATAAAATATATATTTTTTTACTAGCACTTTTCATTTAGGCTTAATAGGCAAAAATGGCCAGGACACAAATAAGCTACTGAACTTATCTATTAAAGAAAGCTTGTCATGTTGTTTTTACATTTTGATATGTTTGCCAGTTTTAATGAGTATAAATATAACAACTAATCAATCATGACAATTTCATGTTGATAGTGCTCTTTACAGAAGGGTGTACACAAAAAAAATCTAAAACAATTTTTCTTGCAAATAGAAAAGGTGCGAAACAGGCACACTAGGCATTTTAGTTTGTCACCTTCCCCTCTCCATGTACATTAATGTGCACACAAAATAAGGGAAAAAAACAACATTATATCATTAACATAAATATAAAACAATATAAAAATGCATTTAAAAAAGAAAAATAACAATGGGAAAAATATTTAATAGGTAGAAAAAATACAGAAAAACTTGTATAATTAAAAAAAAATCTGCAAGCTCTCCGTGAGGACACTTCAGAAGGCTAAATTCTACTGCTGAATTCTATGCGGTGAGTTAGTACATTGAAAAGCTGTGTTGTGACCAATATGTAAATAGCTCATTAGTAAGGGTTAATAACAGTCCTCCGATTCCTGACATAAGGCAGAAAAACACCCTCTATCTGTACTGTACAATATCTCATTTGGCGATCCGAAAAAAGTGTATTGCACTTTTTAAAGTGCATATGCGGAAGGATTTCCTTTATTAATAATATGCCACATCTTGTTTTTTTTATTTGGGGCTAAAGGAATAATTCACAGCTCTTACAATTGGAGACGAAGACAACAAAGGAATAATTAGGTGCTTGTGTGATGCCCCTACTGTCTGGTGCACTTGCATGCCCAGCCGAATGCACCCTGTTCCGTTTCCCCCCTCAAACTTGATGGTTGTTGAACTTATTTTTAGTGTCATTTGATAAGCTTCCCTGCTTGCACCGAGACATCCCACTGACCCAGCCACTGGTCATTGTCTATACCGCTTCCCGTCAAAGCCGGCGCGCTTTGTCAGATTTCGACTCGAATATCCATTTCGCATCTGAAGTAGCGTATCGAAAGTGACTGGATCGTTCGAGCCTTTTTCTTCAGCTGCCGCCCCTCGTCCTCCCCCCGCAGTGTTTCCGCCCGTGCTAGCATAATTTTGCGTCATGACAGCACACCGGCCGAATCCACAACAGAATTATAGTGCTCGCCTTTTTTTCCTTTTTTTTTTTTTTTGGTGTGTGTGCATGAGGAGGGGTGGACAATGAGGATAATTTCTGGAAATGAACAATACTTATCCATCCGTCGCCCCCTTTCCTTTCGAGTTTTGGATGGAAGGGTTCTCACGTTGCCATGGCGGCGAAGCCTTTCTTTTAATTCTCAACGATGGGGATACAGTAGTAGGTCATTCAATGTCAGAAAGATGAGCAAAAGCTTTGCAGGCTGCTGCTTGCTGTTGCCTTTAATTATTTTAATTAAACTTTCGTCGAGTGAACTACTGGGTTGAGACGCTGGGAGAGCCTCGGAGAGAAGCATGGCGAGACAGCTGTATCTATGTCTTAAAAACTAGCCGCGTTTACGAATTGTGAAAGTCAGAAGCAGGCTGCAGAACGTTGGAAGGGGGGCAAAAAAAAAAATCCACACCAACTACCATGTCAAGGTCTTGAAGCATCTGTCCCTCAAAAAGTAGCCGCAGTCCTTTGGTCACAGGCTGTCTTGCGGTGCAATAACGCTCTATTAATTTTTAGGTCCCGAGCACACAATGATAGAAAGGTGTCTTCACAAACTAAAGGGCAAAGTCTTATTGCGTCCAGTACCTTAGGGCGTTCTGTCTACAATTTGTCATGCGTGTGCACTTCTCAGTGTTAAAATGACAAGATCTCCAGTCAAAGACGTCCCGCCAGGCATCGAGCGAGAGTGGACATGGAGAGGCTTTGTGGTGAGACATTGCCAAAAGGCACTGGACTTCTGCACTCCCCGAGCCTACTGGGATTATTTCTACTTCCACGCCAACGGCAAACAGCCTCTACTCGTTCTGTTTTTTTTTCTTTCTTCCCTTTTTTTTTTTTAAATAGCCTCCGTCTGTGTCCATTAAAATTATTTCCCCCCCCCCACAGAAGGCACAATATGGTCAGAATATGTTAAGCCTTTGGTGCGCACAAAGCGGCTAACCAAATCCGACACAAAATCAGGCACTTTTTGATGTATTTACTTTATCTGCGCTAAAGCACGACTCAATCCTCCTATAGCAGCTCGAGGGATACAATATAAATCATTTAAAGAAGATGAAATGGTTGGGGAAGGCCAATGCTTGGAATTAAAAGAGCCCTAAACAAACACGTACTGTGCTATGGACAAGGTATATCATCTACATCAACAACAAAAAAACCTGACATATTTTCCTTGCACCCTCCGAAATACTGGATGTCCACATATTTCAGTGATTGAAGGCTGTCTACTGATGTTGCACTCGGTTGAAATTCATACACCGTCCCTGCAAGACAAAAACAAAGAGAGAATATATTTAGTGTTGGTGCTTTATTTAGATTTAGATCAAATTCAATTTTTCAAATATTCTTAAAAAATTCTTCAACAATAAAACTGAGAATGAATTTACAAGCTATTTAGGTTGAAATGAAATTCAGGATTATTTTGAAGTCAAATGTGAAATTAATTACAGTTTACAGTACATATGTGAATGTCATAAGTTGCATAAAATGTGTGATTTGTATTTATATTTTTACATTTAAAAAATTATCATTAAATTAAATATAAAACTACCATATTCACCTATGAGATTTAGAGATACAATTTACTTTGAATTTCTGAAACCTAGAAATCAAAATTATGAGAAGTGCTTTCCCCAAAATGAATCTTGGAAAAATAATAATAATAAAAAAAAAACCATTAATGTATTTTTTGCAAAAAAATCTTCACTGTAGCTACAAAAATATATTCCAGGAAATGAGTATTACTGTATCTGTACATATCTGTCCATTTCTTGCAGACCGTAGACACTTTCCTGGCCACAGCACACAGTACAGGCCACTGGGGGGCTACTGAGGACACTAGGACCACTGGCACCAAGAGGGAGCTCTCGCACAGCTTATTCTTAACACTATACACATACACACACTAAGTGGTCAGCTGAACCCAAGACTGCTCTCTCTCTGTATGTTCTGTGTATGTATACTGGCTAGTACAATTTACACAAATCCTCTTACACGGTTTGAGGTTAGATTACAGTATCGTGAACAGTTTTACTTTTAGCTGTAAAACTTTTACTTTGGTGCATGGCATGAAATCTAGCCGTCTCTTCGGTCAAAACTCTCTACTATCAGAATCACAAATAAGTCAAGATCCCTTTTATATTGGCGTCATCTGGCCTACTTTCCCAAGCGCTAATGAACATTGGACGAAACTCAGGCAATGTCACGAACACGGACTATCCGCGAATGGTGGGCTTTGCGTCATCCCTCCACCGTAAGCCGCGTGAGGCAGACCCTCTGCGCTAGATCTCGCTGTGTCAACAAATAAGGCACATCAGATGCTGTTTTGGCCGCAGCCAACAGCACGCCTAAGTTCACTGGATTTTGAGGACTTTGAGGTAGGCACTGAGAAAAGCTGCCTACCCCCCCTGCACACAATGGCTGTGAACGGGCTCTGCTGAGAGAGCTGACCAGGTGCGGTACAATACGGTCAGGCCCTCCCCGCGCCACTCGCTCCAAGGCAGCAGGCTCGGACTTGGCAGTGACCGCTTTACTCCATGCCATGCCAGGCTGAGATGGGCAAGGCCCACCTGTGCCACCAGACTAGAAGGACAGTGGGCTGTGTGTCAGTTTTGAACGCTGTTATGCCGTGGCGATGTTGTCAGACGGGTGGCTGACTGGTCCATCAGGTAGTTGGAAGTGATGTGGATGGATGGATGTTGAAATATAGGCTAATTTCACCACATACTATGCACACAGAACTCTGGAGTGAAATCTTTCATGTCATAGACTTGTGAACATGGATGGTGTAATTAGACCTACAGAGTGAAAACACATGAACAACTGAACAACTATGTCATTAACTGGCCTGTAAAAATCAGTGGGATCCAATGGCATCATTCTAAGTAGAAAACTTTAGCAATTTTGACATAATATTCTGGTGCACACTCTGAGATTAAATTACAAGGGTAATTGCAGTGGAATTATTGAGTTCATTGAGTTTAACAACGTGTTAAAAATCTGTTGGTTACCATAACAAGGTCAACAGGTCAGTTTGTGCAGATGTCTCCTTTTGAGACCCTACATGTATTATAAATAGTGATAATTTTAAACTTTGCCTATTTATGTTTCTGCTTGGACCCTGATGATTGCTACTGGCAATGTAATTTGTAGACAGTCGTTTAGCTCTCACAGCAGTTATGACACACATGTTCTACATTAATTTCAGATAAAACTAAATGAAAACTGACTGTCCTGATTACAAAAAGTAATAATTTATGCATGTGTACCTTTTTTACCCACTGTTCAAAAGCTAACTTCACTGTTATCTTAACTGTGATTGACCTATAAAAATTAAACATTATCTGTGGGTTGGCTGTGCTGTGTTTGGGGGAGAGGAGGGATTTTCTCTCAGAATTATTTGCTGGCAGGAGATCTCCCTAGTTCCTAAAATTAAAAACTTAAAATTTAAATCTACACTTTTCATATATATGTATTCATTCATACAAATAGCATTCAAAACAGGGAAATTTTGCTTTACAACTTTGCATGCATAAAAAATTTGTCTTGCTAGGCCTAGTGCCAAGAAAACAACGGAGAGCAAGAATGTAAGTGACAAACTAGTCATTTTCAGGGTCTCCACTTTCTGCACATCCAGTCAGACATATTGAAATGGTATACAATTTATTTATCATATTGTAATATTCAACAACTTTATCACACAATGCGTTTTTTGGTCCAAATCATGCAACCCTCATTTGCACCACTTACCAAAGGCCATAGACCATGCATGCTGGCTTTCTATACTTTATATATAGTGACAAAATATTTTACATTCCAGCATCATTATGCTACATGTTTGATGGGTGCGTAAAGTAACCATCCATTCAAGGCCAAAAAACACTAATTTCTACTGCAACTAGGCTCTGAATACAGCACAAGAAAAGAACGTTCTTTCCTTTTCCAGTGTACTGGCTTCAAATGTCTCAGCACAAAACCACTCAAAAGGGACAAGCAGGAGAGCTCACAAGAACACAGAGCCTATTAAAAACTTGACAAAACACTTCATTCCCTGGTCAGAAAGTCTCTCTGTAGATCAAGCCATCTTAAAAGGAAAACACAAGTTCATCATTCATTCAGTTCATCAAGAGCCTCCCCCTCTCTGACCCCAAACATATGCTACACCTATTTAGATCAGTCCAACTGAGACGTCATGTTGGAGATCACCAGCGCCTTTCTATCTCTGATCTTTGGAGTGTTTTCTCCATGCCACACAAGGCTGATGGCCACTGAGCTTCAGAGAGACATGTCCTGGGCTCTGATTCTGCCGTGTGCTCGGGCAACAGTCCAATAGAGAAGCCTGTGTGTGATTTTGCATCTCATCTCCTGATAGCCCGCGCTCTGGAACAGCTTGATTCCCCCAACGCTAGAACTCCCCGAGGAGCCGTCTTGCACTTCCCCTGCTCAAAAAGAGTGAGATCCAGGAACCTGAGGGTGGAAGAGTGCGTTTGGATCCTGGCCCATGTCCTTTTGAGGATCCCCTCACTATAAAAATACTTGAACTTCCATCTTAAAATGGTTATTTAAGACTTACGGAATGATAAACAATATCAGTATTTTGGAACAAATACAAAAGGCAGCTTTGCTCAAACTAAATTTATGTTCTATGTAAACTGACTCAAGGTACATCTTGTGATGCACATATTCTTACATAATTTCAAATAAAGTGCTCAATATAACATTATGGGTTTGCAACAATGTTTACTGCAACAGATAAAGAGGAGAAAAAAGATTGCAATGTTTGATTTTGGTCGCGCTTCTCTCTGCAAAATCTGACAGCACAGCATGAAGAATCAACTCCCCCTCCACATATTGAACACATTAAAAGTTCAAAATGGGACAGAAGTACAGCTGCAAATGGGCTGATACTAAGCGCCAGAATGTGAGCAATCCTGCACTCTAGAGCTGAGCCCTCACTATCGTTACGCCCATGGTCCACATACGGCCCACATAGCACTGCCATCTGGCGTGGTGGAGAATCCGAACCAAGCCAAGACGGCCAAAAACATCACACCTGCTGACAACTTGGATTATTCTTCCAGTCGTTAAAAATGACAGGCACTGAAACAAAAAATGCATTAAATCATGAAGGAACGGATGACTTAGATCCCTTGAAACCCCTTCGAAAAGGGGAATTCCACAAATCTTACAGAGTCAGAATATTTGTGGTGGTTAATAGGAACCAGACCTCTGAAGAGTTTACTGCCTCTACAAGCTACCTCACAAAAAGTTATTACATTAAATGGTTACAAATATGTTGTCTGAAATCTGAGACATTGTGTTATAATAGTTTTCCAGTGAAGTTTTGACCTAAAACTTATTTTTTGCTACATGCAGGACACTATCAATCAAAATAGTGCCAAAAGAAAACTTTTTTCTCTGATTTACTACTATTTTACCACCATCAGTATTACATATAAAACTCAGAAGACACATGTAGGTCCACTATTGGTTTGGGGTAACAAATAAAATGGCTATATTTATGTTGTTGAATTGCGACCCCTGGGGCCAGACTCACAAAAGAAAATAAATCTTTCTAAGTGAGCCTTTTTTAACTACATATTTGAGAAAAAAAGTTAAGATCCATTATTATTCTTCAAAAATGTTCATTTCTTTTTCTAACTTTTCTCTTAAGAACAACTGTACAAAAAGGTGGTGTTCTTGAAAATATTTTCTTAACCTTATGGCAGTCTCACATTTGTCGTAGATTGAAAAAACTTTAAACCTCTTAAACTGTAACTTCTAACGAGTTTCACAAAATACAACATAAATCCAAGGAAAATTTTTCCTGTTGGCTGTTTCCTCCACCATCACGTCTAGGTTTCGATGGCAAAATTTTTAAATGTTTGGTTTTTGTTTTTCCTTCATTTCTCTGTCCTCGGGTGTTGATATAATTAAAACATTTTTTAAAAACCTTAGATTAAAATGGAAATATGGTATAATTTCAGGTAATCTGTAAAATGCAATATGGCAAATACCCTGTAGCATATACACAAAAACAATTCAAGGGTTTATAGAGAAAATAAATAAGACATTCTTAAGAGAAGGAGTACGAGAACTGCGTTTAAGAACATTTTTATGAGCTTACTGTTTGTCTTAAGATCTTTCTTAAGTTTTCTCTCAAGAAAGTTTTCATGAATCTGGCCATTGTAAAGAAATCTGAGTGTGTAAATTTCTCTACAATTAACTATTTCACATCATACTTCAAATAACTTTGTTTCCATCT